ATGTATGAGCCCCCAATAAAATGATTAAAAAGGAAAAAACCGAGCAGCCGTCTAAGTGAAGTGACAGAAGCACAGCAACCTGTGTGACAAGGATCATAAATAATAAAATCTAAGACTGGAGGAGGCAAGCGTATTAGAGCTTAAATTCTGAGCACCCAGTTTGCAAAAGGCGATAGATGACAATGAAATCCTAAAGTCTATTTGCAGGGTCCCCACCTGGGTGAAGCCTCTGGTGAAGTCCCTCTGACCATGGGGCCAGCAATGTGGACAACCTTGCTGTCGGGCAAAGCGCATTGGAAAGTGAATTAATGCTGATGTAATTAGGTTCTAATTGAATGTCATCATTTGTTCTCCCTTTTGGTCCATTTTTAATTTGTTCTAGTTTTTATTATTTTCTGTTATCTTCTCTAAATGGAATTGATGGCAGTGAATCTGCTTTGAGTTTTGTGTTCTCTTTTGAAATGAACTTTTCAATCTTTTATTTTGTTATTGGGTGTTTTGTTTGGGGTATGCTTTTCCTTACCCCAGGATAGGTAAATCTATAGAGACAGTAACTGGATTAATAGATTCTTGGGCTTATGGTGGGGGAGGTGGGGACGGGGAGTGGGACGCTAATAATAACAAGTACAGGAAGAGAGTATTCTAGAATTGACTGTAGTCATGATTGCACAACTCTCTTTAATATGTTTAAACTACCGAGCTGTGAGACAGGAGAATTGCATGTCAATAAAGCTGTTCACATTCAAAGGTTACAGTTTAGGAAACCCTATGGGGCAGGGATCAAGTCAGGGACACACAGCAGCTTCCCATTGGGAGGACCTGCTCTGCACCCTGCCGAGTAGAAACACACTTTCTTCCTCCTAGATGTTCCTCAGCCAAGATCAAAACCGCTGTGTTTGGGCTGCTTCCTGTGCTCTCTTGGCTCCCCAAGTACAAGATCAAAGACTACATCATCCCTGACTTACTGGGTGGACTCAGCGGGGGATCTATCCAGGTCCCACAAGGTAAGAGGGTCCCCCTCCCTAACCAGGCTCGGCCTACTGCTTTCCCTTACTCCCCTACTCTTGCCCCACCCTGAACCCTGTGTCACCTCTGACACCCTAAAGCCTGCCCCCTCTGTCCTCCGCAGGCATGGCGTTTGCTCTGTTGGCCAACCTTCCCGCAGTGAATGGACTGTACTCCTCTTTCTTCCCCCTGTTGACCTACTTCTTCCTGGGGGGTATACACCAGATGGTACCAGGTAAGAGCTACCCGCCCCCCCACTCCTGGTGGGCAGGATCCCTTGGCACCCGAGGACAGGGCACGTGCATGAAGGGGAGCTTTCAGGGGATTGGTCGTCTGTATTCTCTGAGCGTTGATGCTGGTAGTCCCATGTTTCCTGTGACCTTGAAGAAACCACTTAGCCCCTGTGTTCTTAAGTAGCCCAACCTGTTCTGCCTCCTTCCCTGGGCGGTGGGGAAGACTGGGTGGAACAAGATACTCCCTGCACCAGAAGCTCTAAACAAGTGCAGATGTTTGGCGCTGGGCAGCCTGAGTTGAGATGACAACCCCAGGCTGGTCCCTAGTCAGGCACTGTGTATGTCAGACCTGTTCTCTCACATGTCCAGGGTGATAATAGGACCGCTGAGGCGGATGTGCTGTGGGAAGCGTGGCTCCTGTGCAGATGTGTGGGGTTGGGTGGGTAGGAGAGGAGCCTTGGAGGTGGGAGGCAGCTACCACCCAAGGGTGGGGAAGGGTCTGGGGCATCCTGCTGGTGTCTGTGGGCATGGCCCAAACCTCTGACTCTTGCGGCGGGGTGGGGCACCGCAGGTACCTTTGCCGTTATCAGCATCCTGGTGGGTAACATCTGTCTGCAGCTGGCCCCAGAATCGAAATTCCGGGTCTTCAACAACGTCACCAACAAAAGCTACGTGGACACGGCGGCCATGGAGACAGAAAGGTTGCACGTGTCGGCCACCCTAGCCTGCCTGACTGCCATCATCCAGGTGAGAGGACAGCTCCCACCCCTGCCAGGGACTGGGCTGAACAGAGGCCCAGTCTGAACAGGAAGGCTGCTTTTGAGTTATACCGGCTCCCTCTTCCCCATCCCCAGGGCCTAAGAGGAGCTTGAAAAGTCAGAGTGTCTCACTCCTGCCTCCAGAGCGGGCCGTAGGACGGGCATCCCGACCTAGTAACACCGCTCTGAGCACAACCAGAGAAAACCAGTGGCCACCAGGTTGATCCTGATTCATGGCAACCCTGTGTGTCAGAGTCAGAGTGAGCCCTAGGGTTTTTGAGGGCTGGTTTTCTGGAAATAGGAGAGAAGTCAGAGGGTCAGGAACGGCTTCTGAGAGGAGGTGACCTTAGACCTGAGTCTTCAAGGATGAAAGGAGGTTAACCATCCCCAGGCCTTTTTCCAACGCATCTCTGCGGGGGCTGGAACCTCCCACCTTGTGGTTCGCAAAGGAGCGCCTTCAGGGGCTCCACCCTGAACTTGGCATTTGGCAAAGAGACCCAGGGGCCCAGTCCACAGCAACTCCCTCTACCACCACAGTCTTCCCATCTCTCCTTCTAATGGGTCCAGCCTGCTAAGTTAGCTAACACTCCTAGGCCCCTTCCAGACGCTTCTGCTCAGAGCCATAGCATCAGCTGCACAAGAAAAAATGAGGTGGTGTGTGTGTGTGTGTGTGTGTGTGAAAAATGAGGTTGTGTGTGTGTGTGTGTGTGTGTGTGTGTGTGTGTGTGTGTGTGTAAAAGGAAGGCCAGCCTGATAGAATGCAAAAGTAGGAAACAACTTCAAAGAGCCCCTTTCATTCATTCATTCACTCCTTCACACATATGTGCTATTGTTTCCTGGGCTGTGTCCCAGCACCAGGAACTGGGCTGGGTCCTAGGACCCCAAGATAAGTAAGAAAGAGCCTCCGTTCTCCAGAAGCGCGCAGCCTGCAGAGGAAATAGCCGTGCCAACAGATAAGTGTGTGTGCAGTCAGATAAGTGGCATAGCAGGGCTTCGTGCAAAGAGCTGTGGAAACCCAGGACGCAGGGTCAGGGCGGGCCTCCGAGAGGAGGTGCCATTTGACCTGCGTCTTAAAGGATGGATAGAGGTTCGCCAATAACCAGGTGAACAGGTGCAGAAGGATGATGCAGTGATGCAGACGGGGAGCAGTATCCCAAGGAGTGGGGGGTATAATCCGCCTGTGGAGTGGGGAGGAGCACAGTGCCCCCGGGGGATAGAGAGTCAGAGGGAAGAGACCAGAGGAGAGGCTGGAACGGCAGGCGGTGGGCAGAGGATGGGGTCCAGCAGCGACTCCCTAAGCAGAGGCTTTGGCAGTTTATCAGGATGACTCAGGCGTGAGGATGCGGGTGGCTGCGAGGGTGCCTGAGTCAGGAGACCTGCCGGGAGGAGAGACAGGTGTCCAGGCATGAGTGACGGGACGCCCAGACCCAGGGGTGGCAGTGCGCAAGGCGATGGAGGTGGCATGTGTTGGCATGAGCAGTAACAGGACTTGGTGACAGATTGGATGTGGGAGGTGAGGGAGGATGACTCCCAGGTTTGGGGTTAGGCAATGAAGTAGACAGTGATATCATTTAGTGGGCTGTGTGTGTGGCACAGATAAAGGAAAGGAAGCCCGAGATGAGTGACCAAGAGGCCGGTCCTCTAAAGGAAGGACACATAAGGACAGTGAGGTCAGGGCAAGGCCAGGGCCAGGTCAGGAAAGGATCTTGTCCCCAGAGCTACAACTATCCCAGGGCAGCCTGGAGCTCCAAGCACTCCTGGTCCGGGTCAGCAGGCTATGGAGGCAGCTTGTCTTTCTCCTCCCCGGCTTCCCTCCTCACAGATGGGCCTGGGCTTCGTGCAGTTTGGCTTTGTGGCCATCTACCTCTCTGAGTCCTTCATCCGGGGTTTCATGACGGCCGCCGGCCTGCAGATCCTGATCTCAGTGCTCAAGTACATCTTTGGACTGACCATCCCCTCCTACACTGGCCCCGGGGCCATCGTCTTTGTGAGTTGGGGGTGGACCCTTGCAACCAGGGAGGGGCACCTCCCCGGCAGACACAGAAGCAGAAGGGGACTGCTTTCAGAAACTCCGAGCCCCTCACAAGGAGATGTTGTCAAGCAGGGGCTGGCGGAGCCATTGTTCAGAGGGGACCCAGGGGGATCCCTCCTTGGGGAGGAGAGTTGAACACCCAGCCTTAGGGACTTGCCTTTTGGCAACACGGAAGAGAAACAAAGATGTGTCCAGCCTCCCATCAGCTCCCCCTTCCGGGGCTTCAGCCCCTCCCATAAGCCTGACCTCCATCTCTCACCCCTCAGTTAGAACGCTTTCGACCGAGAGGTCGTGGGCATGGTCACCCCAGCACGAGCAATTTTGAAGACAGGCCTGCGTTCATGGCCTGGGGTTGGCCTTTGCTCTTAGATGCATGGTTGGCACCCCTTCCCTGGGTGAGGTGCCCAGGGGTCAGGACAGTGTGGGGAGAAAGAGTGGGACCCTGCAAGCCTGATGCTCTCTCCCCCAGACCTTCGTTGATATTTGCAAACACCTCCCCCAAACCAACGTGGCCTCGCTCACCTTCGCCATCCTCAGCGGCATCTTCCTGGTCCTGGTGAAGGAGCTCAATGCTCGCTACATGCACAGAATCCGCCTCCCCATCCCCACCGAGATGATTGTGGTACGGACCCTGTCTTGCCGGGGCTGGGGTCTTGAGAGGCCAGGCTGGAGAGACCAGGCCGGGGAGCCCCTACTCCTGCCCAGCCCAGCCCC